AGGTAGTAGACTGTTATCAGGGTGACAATCAAGATAATTAATTAATGGAGAATGTTTCGTTTTCTATTTACGAACGAAAAGGAGAGCTATTAGAATCTAAATTATTATTCTGGTTTTCGGGCACACTGATGAATGGTTCGCGGACTACACTTAAACTCAAGTGTAGTCCATCTGTGAGTTACGTCCCCGCGCAATACAAAAATGCTTGTGCAAGTACATGAACCTTGTATCTGCATGTATTGGTTAGGGTGATCATGTGCACAAGCTTAATGCTTACTTACTTCGGTTCGGAAGTCCAAAAATATTTTACCTATTATTTATGCCTGTTTGCAAACAAAAGTTTTACGCATTCACGGGTCACTTGCTATAGCAATTACTTGTGTAGGGAAGTAATGGGATCAACCGGGACCGCCAATAAAGCTTGGGTAAGTCGAAGGACAGCCAAACTGTGGACGGATCGGGAAGTATTTGAGAGGATTTATTATTTATACAAAGGAATAAGTCATGGGAAACGTGTTCGGGTGAGATCGAAGAGAAATTGGGGCTACGGGAAAAATATTCGGGCGCTTCTGTTTTTTCGTGGGAAATAATTTAGCTCCCTCAAACGGCTCAGTTGTAGGTATGATTTCATTGGTTGATGAGCCAAATAAATTAAAATTCTGTAATGATTTCCAGTTTGATTAAGACAGTACAGACTTGCATCAATCTCGTTAAGTGTTCTGAAGCTGAAATAAGCTTAACTTTTTAAGGTGAATAGGCACTTACAGATAATGTACCATCTTAGACTGCATCTTACTTAACACTAGGTGCGATTACGGTCCTTGCGGCGATGCTTCTTTTTATACATGAAAAGGCAGGTTGCGGTCAAAAACTTCCTTTTCATGTTTTATGCATGAAGCATCTTTTCTAGTTGTAATATGTTCAAAAGTTTACAGTAAAAATATTAGTAATCTGATGTTTTGAAGGTGACTGCATCTAGCGATCTCTGAATTGAATCTAAATTATATTATTAATGTCGTTTAAAGATCGTTTTCCCGATGTAGAGTCAACAACGAAATGTAGTCACAACCCGTTCGATACATACATTTAATTAATTATAATTAATATTGTACGTTACGTCACAATATATCCGTCCTTCACGGTCCTTGCTTCGGAATCACGAGGTTCATTAATATTTGCGGAGCACCGGATCATTTGCAGACCTTAAATACTGCACGATGTGTGTCATCGTTAATACCAGTGTTTGTGAACAAGCGAGATATTATTATGATATTGCACTGAGATAGGTAGAGGACGATTTGTCTTTGTTAGGTTGTTACAAACCTACACTCAATTCTTATAGTCGGTGTGTGATTCAAAGATGTGTGTGTCCTGGTTAGTTACAAAATCCAAGTCACTGTTGACTTTTATCACACTAATATTATAAAGGCGTAAGTTTGTGAGTGTGTATTACTGTGTATGTTTGTTACTTCTTCACGTCTAAACGGCTGGAGCGATTTTAATAAAATGGTTTAACATATAGGCTACGTTTTACCGGGGGTAACACCTCATCGCGAAGCACAGCTAGTTTAAGAGCGTTTACGCAAAGCGCGGCGTTTCAAGGGGCATCAATGGAAATGATTCGCGCGCGGCGTTTTTTAATAGTTTTCAAATGTTTATAGCAAAACAATAACAATGAATTAAATATCGTTTCAAAGTAAATATTTTAAAGAAGATGTTGTTTTATTATATTCAGCTATTTTTATGTTGAATAAAGGAAGAATATTGGTGAAAAAATCACTTTGGTTTTTGGGTATTTCACGTTCTTTTAATTTGTGATTTCTTATTGTAAAATGCTTAAATCTAAAAATTTTCTCAGATAACTATTTGCCCAAGGATCTATGCTATAGGATTTAAATGTTTGTTAAATCGTTTTCACAGTATTTTTATAAAAATTTCAGCTTGTAAACTGACACTAAAGTGGAAATTTACAAAACCTGTGTGGACTTATCTTGATAGAATTCTTAAATACTAAACTAATCGCAATATTTTCTCAATTAATTATTTAGACGACGAAATTGCCTAACTATTTATGCCTATAACATATTTGTAGTATTACTTGTTAATGATTGTAACGAGTTGAAAAAGTACTGTTTTTGCGCCAAACGGCGTAAACGCTCTTAAATAATAGTTTGGTTACGACTTATTAACAGTGTTCATAAACTTCAAGAGACGTTAATAAAATACAATAAAATTACTTAAAATCAACTATACTTACGTAAGGTCTATAACCATCAATCCAAAGTTCTAAACTATTCAAAACTATGGTAACATATGAGCGCCCTAAGAGCAAAAAACTTAGTTCTAGCTGCTAAAGCCATTATCAAAATGGATTGTTTCACTTTACCACTTAACGTAAATGTTAAAGTTAAAGCTGTCTTTATTATTATGACTTGTAAAGGTTTGAAGCTCACAGTGATGTCGTACAATCCCTTTAGCGAGGGAAAGTTGAAATTGCAACTTGCACGCTTGCATCATCCGAGACTGGTCCGGACGCATAGCGCGAGTGAATCCTACTTGCTAAGTAAGTTTACCACTTTATCGCCCGCATTCACAAACATTACTATGAGGTCTCACAGTGCGCGTGGACGCACAGAGTGACACATGAAACGATCACAGAGCTCTATTCAACGCTGTGCGTTCGATTTGCTGCTTTACTTAAGCAAGCCGCTTTTGTGAATACGGGCGTATATCTGGCACTTGCCCTAATACGAGAGTGGTAAATACGCTATCTATTTCGGATACTGTTAATTGAGATATAGATCAGTCTAACAAAAAAAAACTGCTTATTATATCGCCTTTTTTGCCGTGATTAATTCAATTACGTATGTTTTCATAATGATACGTTTTAAACCGAATTATTTATGTTTGGGCGGAATTTTTGTCGAACAATTAAGTCGCATGTCTAATCTATTGTTAAACTTGATTTGGGATAACGGATTTGGGAACTTAGTTTGGGATAACAAACTATATTTTTTCGCTGTAATTACTTGAAGAAGCCGTGTTTAGCTAGCTTTGCCTTTTAAAATAATGTCAACTATAGGCTCACTTGGAAATCAACATAGGTTGTTGTATTTTAAGTTATCCCGACTATGTTAGGTATATTGATAAACACAACCTCCTCTCCCTATTAAACTTAGTTAAAAACCCTAAAGGTATTTAAGACTTGATTATCTTGAGTTAAAGCGGAGCTTAATCACTTAACACTTATCAAAGCTTTACAAACTTTAGCTTTTAAGATAAACTTTCTACTTCTAATTAAAAACTGAAAATCTGTGGCCTCATTAACCCATTTTATGAAGTGGTGTATGACAACACATAGACAGTTTAAAACAAATAGCCAACATAACATCGAAAATCCAGCAGTTTGTTTGATTGGCAGTTAATTTAACTTTGTTTTAATTAACGTTTACTTCCAATCAAGGCAGCTTACGGATACGGGTGGTGGTGATAATAAATTCACAAATTGAGTGCGAAACCGAACCGAACATTCTGTTCAAACTATTTTACTACATATGTTTACTGAACTGCAAAACCTTAGAACTAGCTTTCAAATATATTTTTTATGCTATGACTGAATGAAATAAAAAATCCATGTTTGCAGAATAGATATGAGACCTATTCTGTTCTGTAAAATATTCAACCAATCACATGCTTGAATTACAGAGGGAGGATATGCAATTTATATGAGTAAAGAGAGAGTCTCTCTCTCTAATGAGTGGGACTCAATGTTAAAATATGATAACAGTGACTTTTCACCAGCAAGCTTAGAAATTAATGGTTTTTACAAAACCAATCTATGTTCTTCTGTTCAATTTCGTTGCGGGTCCAATGACAGTTTAACTTTCCTTTCCCCCGGGACAAACTTGACCTTCACTGGTTGGGTTTTTATTGGCAGTCAAGCTGTAGATCCTGGCTACATAGGAATTGCGGTGGTGGGAAAGAGTGGTGGGAATAGTCCCGTAAAACCAATCTGATTCGTGTTTTGCTGCATCTAAAATTGTATCGTTCACCGATTTTAACTTAATAATACGGTTTTGCCTAACAAATACAAACCGATAGCATTTCATATCGGATAGCATATTATTGTACCAGCTAATTGTTTACCCGAATGTGACGCATTCTAAATTAACTGCATTTGTGCGCTATGCGCCAATAATTTAGGTATTGTTTATGTATTATGAAATTGATAGTAATAATATTAAACGCAGTAATGCATAAAACATTTTATGTTGCCGCCGTATTATAGGATTTGTCATAACGTTTAAGTGTACATTAACCGACCTATTTATCAAATCCTATCCATACAGTGTTATAAATGTGCAAGTAATTCTGTTCGGACGGACCTTTTCAAGCCTACATCACTGATGCCCGTTTTCATCATCAATCCCTAATTTTTAAGTGACCCCTATGGTAACACATAACAGGAAATTTGTTTTCATAGGGGTCACTTAAAAATTAGGGAGTGATGGTGAAAACGGGCATAAATCAATTTGGATTTGGGGTTTTTTTGGCGGGGAAGAAATGCTTTGCGTACTGTCACCACTGCCGGGGGACAGGCTGGTGAGTGGGAATCCCGAAGTCCTGAAAAGGGCGCTTCTCTGTCTTGAAAAGGACGGCCTATACCCACTAAAACCTCCGCTGCGTTCCGTCATAGCCCGAGTGGAGGTGTCGCGAGTATAGATCGTGTCATCCACGAAGACGCGTCCCTCCAATTTTTGGTCGAGGGATGCGCGGGGTGCGGAGTTTGATCCGAGCAATCCGAGAGTCATTATTGTAGTGTGCGTGTGCACTCATGGATAATTTAGTGTGTACCGATAACACTCGAACATTAGCGAAAGAATGGTGGGGCGCGTCTTCGTGGATGAAACGATCTATGCCCGGCCGCCTGATGTTCGTATATTTCTGGTGGAATGTACGGGTATGTGAGGTATCTTTAAGTTTTATTACTTTGTTTCCAGTTTCGACGTGTGGCGCGAGTTCCCCGACCGCATAGTGGGGTTTCCGTCCAGGCTGCACGTGTGGGACAACGTGACCAGCTCCTGGCGGTACCATAGCGAGTGGACCAACCAGATATCCATGGTGAGTTGGGAGTTATGACGTCGTGGTCGTCTTAAGTCGCTGACGTAGCCCGCCGGATTAGCATGTTGAAGTGGCAATGGGCAGGGCACATAGTACGCAGATGGTTGATTGGTTGATGGGACAGCAAGGTTCTGGAGTGGAGGCCTATGTTCAGCAGTGGACGTCCTTTGGCTGAAATGATGATGATGAAGTCGTCTAAACCAAATGCCGTCCATATCGCTTATAGTCTCCCAAACGTATTTCCACAACGGTTGATCCTGCGCTGCATGCAGGTTCTTCCCGCGAGCTTCACCAGATCGTCAGCTCACCTAGGCTTGCCCAAACTACGTCTTCTAACCCGGGATTGCGACTCGAGAACTTTTCTGGTTTTGTTTTGGTCAAACTTTAGCGATACTTTAGATAGGCTTCGGACATGTTTAATGTTATGATCTAGTTCAATTCAGTTCTTAAAATGTTCGCAGTCATAGTGTCCTTATATTTTTTTCATTTAAGGCCGGGTAGCAGAGAAAATGGCGAAAATGAGGTTTTCATTTTTCATTTTTGAGGTACTAAACAGTAAAATNTCAAAGTCAAAGTCAAAGTCAAAATTTCTTTATTTGTTTGGACTAATAAATAGTTCTTACAAATCGTCATTTTGCTCTTAAGGAGCCTCTACATGTCTCATAATCTTTTTACCCTACCAGCGCTTCGAGACCAACATTTGGCAAGTGCTGAGAAGAAGCGCCGCAACAAACTCAGTCACCACTGTCTGCCGGTTAATATAAATAAATAGAAATAGTAGTAGTAGGTACATTCGATTCAGGAGCAGTTCACTGAATTTACCATGCATTCTTGTATGGTGTATCTTATAAGAATGGGTATACAAGATTGCGTGGTATATTAAACAAGGTAGGGTTAAATCTTGCAAGCTGAAGCAAATTTGGCCAAGTGTTGGTTACGTAGGGCGGCAGACGTGACGGGGCGCGGGGGCCTGTCGTTCGTGGAGCTGGTGCTGTGGATGGCGGCGCTGGAGCCCGCCACGCAACACAGCGGCGTCCCCGCCGAGATCCGCTGCCGGTACATCTTCAGGCAAGTGCTCGTGTTAAGCCCGCAGCTGATTTCCTCACTATCTACCTATCCTTGGTCATTTTGGTATACCTCTTAACTTCGCACTCCTCGTAATTCTTATGTTTTTTATTAATATGGTTGTTGATCGACTTTCCCTCGGGACAAACTTGGCCTTTAGATACTGGTTGGGTTTATTTTGCGGTCAAAATGTAGATTCTCCTGGCTACATAGGAGTTGCAGCGTTGGGAATGAGAGGAGGAAATCATCCTGAATTGATTTAAATGCCTATTAGTTCCATGGGCTTTAGACTAATATTGCACTGATCTAATTTATCGTACTAATCAAAAGGCAAAATATTTGAGCGCTCGAAGTTACCTACTATCACGAAGGACCTCACATACCACAGGTCTTCGACAGCAATCACGACCTTAAGAACTTAGAATACGAGAAGTAACTTAGCTGCCTTTGATTATCCTACCTGCAACATAAGCAAGCACAAGCTCATAATCAAAAGTCAGTCAACGTGACTATCATCACGAAGGACCTCATCATACCGCAGGTACTTCGACAGCAACCGCGACCTGAAGCTGGAGTACGTGGAGTTCAAGGAGCTGGTGGCCGCCGCGCGCGCCGCCCGCCAGCTGCCCGTCGACGCGCTCAGCGTGGCCCGCGACGCAGACGTCTGCCTGAGGTACTGCTCCAGGACTAAAGCCTGGTCCGTGAGCACGTAGAATTTTGTTCAATGACCCCAAGCTACCCATCCTTATCGCTCGCGCGTAATTATGTTGCTGTCGCGCTCGCACACTCACTGCGGGCGCCCGTCGCTATCGAAGGGATACTGGACATTGGTTATACAGGCTACAACAGCCCCAACAGTGGGACTGGCCGAATCGAACACGAATTCGAAACAAGTCATCCGCTATCTTAATTAGCTTACCACGAGGGTTTTTGATCCAACCGGGAGGTTAATTGCCGCGGGGATGATGGTGTTGAACACGGAACTATTTTATTTTTAAGTCCTGTAAGGTATAACTAACTTTTGCTCCTATCGGAGGTGCGCAATACAATTCTTTTTCTAATACACTCAGCGGCACGGAATTTGGCCCAAGCCTAAACAACCAGATATGAGGCCAAATAGGTGTTGTATACCTAAGTTTCGTGTGACATGTTAACAGAACATTTGTTTTTGTTAATTTAAGAGGCTAGATTAATAAAAAAATGCGTCTGTTTAACTTTTTTGACTCTAGAAACGCATTTCGTTGTTGGAGCGTAAAGAGTACGGGTAAGTTTAAATTCGATATTAAATGTTGTAAGGGTTTGGCGTTTTGTTTTTTGTTTTTAAATTAATCTTAGGGTTATTCTCGTTTCCATAATTTGAAAATAATGTCCATTACTTCAGCTCAAGTTGCTCAAATAGTGTTGCTTAGAAGTCAAGGGTGTATGCAGCGGGAGATGGCTGAAACTTTCAATTTATAGCGTACAAACTTAAGATACACTTTAAAAAGGCATGACCAGACCGCCTTTTACACAAAAAGACCAAGAAGTGGGGAATTAAGGTGTAAGTCAGCGCGCGATGACCCGATAATCGTGCTTGCAATATCAAGAAATCGGGTTCTCACTACGTTTGAGATACGCCAGCGTTTACAAACAGCAAGCCCAGTGAATGTTAGTGAGCACACAATAAGAAGAAGGATGGAGGATCATAACCTGCATACTTGAAGACCAGCTCGAGGACCAGATCTTCTCCGATACCTCCGCGAAGTGCGACTTACGTTTTCTAGAGAACATGCAAATTGGGCGCAAGGCTAATGGAGTAAAGTTCTATGGATCGATGATTGCAGAGTCACCTTAAGAGCTCCAGACGGCCGTGGAAGTGTATAGAGAAGGTGCGGAGAAGAGTTTCTACGCAAACAGACAGTTTTCATAAAGAGTTTACTCCATTAGTCTAACGTACAATTTGCATGTTCTCTAGAAAACGTAAGTGGCACTTCGCGAAGGTATCGGAGAAGTTCTGGTCCTCGAGCTGGTCTTCGAGTATGCAGGCTATGATCTTCCATCCTTCTTCTTATTGTGTACTCACTGACATTCACTAGGCTTGTTGTTTGTAAACACTGGCGTATCTCAAACGTAGTGAGAACCCGATTTCTTGATATTGCAAGCACGATTATCGGGTCATCGCGCGCTGATTTACACCTTAACTCCCCACTTCTTGGTCTTCTTGTGTAAAAGGCGGTATGCTTATGCCTTTTTAAAGTGTATCTTAAGTTTGTACGCCATAAATTGAAAGTTTCAGCCATCTCCCGCTGCATACGCCCTTGACTTCTAAGCAGCACTATTTGAGCAACTTGAGCTGAAGTAATGGACATTATTCTCAAATTACGGAAACGAGAATAACCCTAAGATTAATTTAAAAACAAAAAACAAAACGCCAAACCCTTACAACATTTAATATCGAATTTAAACTTACCCGTACTCTTTACGCTACAACAACGAAATGCGTTTCTAGAGTCAAAAAAGTTAAACAGACGCATTTTTTTATTAATCTAGCCTCTTAAATTAACAAAAACAAATGTTCTGTTAACATGTCACACGAAACTTAGGTATACAACACCTATTTGGCCTCATATCTGGGTGTTTAGGCTTGGGCCATATTCCGTGCCGCTGAGTGTATTTACTTAGGCAGAATTCAAGATGATAGAATATTAATCTTCATCACAGGTCATAGTGAGACCCTGTCCAAACCATGTTCTTTCTAGTTAAAATTTAAAAATTATACTCCCAGTTGCCCCTTCAAAGGAGGCCGGGGGCAACTGGGACATATTTTTTTACGAATTTCCAGTTGCCGGTGGGGCATGGGGGCTCAAGTGGGGGCGACTGGGAATAACCCGTTCGTCTGTGTTCGTTCCATGCCCATGTTCAAAATAACCTAGGTACATAGCTGACTCGATAAAGCCGCAAGTCTCCGCAGGCAACTGGGCATCCAGCCGAACTCGCAGCTGCCGCTGGCGGAGTTCCTGCGCGGCGTGGGCGAGCTGCGCCTGCGCGGGACCAGCTCGCTGCTGCGCGCGCCCAAGAGCATCGCGGGCTACCTCGTCGACCTTCAGTACGTTGGGCTTTGGATGATCGGCTGGTTTCTTTTATTTAAGGCCCGGTTTCCACCAAGGCGCAGCGGAGCGGAGAAGAGAGATGTGCGAAGCGGAAAGGTGATGTGGAAATAATGAAATCTAAATTGGTTATTCAAAAAACTCGCTCCTCTCCGCTCCGCCTTGGTGGAAACCGGGCCTAACGCACAGTGTCCTTTTACAATGATACCACATAAGTAGAATAGATAAGTAAATGATCTTTACTGCAATGTCCAACCGCATTTAATTTTGGCAAATTACTATTGTTCAAACCGTAGATGACAGCTAACAGTATTAATTTGATGAAAATATTTATAGTGCTTCTTAGGGGGGTAGAGCATGCTTACAATTCTTTGCTTATTATACTGGCTGATTGATTCAAAAACATGCCTTATCGGAGATCCGTTGAGATTGGAAGATGCAATAGGACTGTGAAAGCCTCTACCATGATAATTAAAAATCATTGCAGGGAAAGAGATCGTGAACTCAGCATGCGAAATGCTCAATCCACTTCAAAAATACCGCCTCCGCAAAGTAAGTCAAACAATACTGTTTGATAGTTTATTTATGTTTTATTTAATTTATATAAAAGAAAATCAAAAGTAAAGATAATTTGCTTGTAACGAGTAAAGGACCAAACCAACGCGTGCAGCCTGCGTGCGTGATGGCGATGGCGATCTTAATGTGTAAGAATTTGTAGCGGGTGAGTTCACATCAACGCGTCCTGTCATTGGTCGCGGCGATCTATGCACACGCTGTGACCACCATCGCTTTCGCCGACGGGAGCTGCACGGGTAGGTTTGTCCGAAGCTTTAGGCGGGTACTTCTCAT